GGTTTGTCACGTTAAGACAGCTTAAAATCTACAAATCACATTATGATTAGTTTTGATTCATCGTAATAATATAATGTTTGTTTCATATTAATTCTGACGAAAATTGATGTGATCTAATAATTTTCATTTTCTCGGCACTTTTTGGTTGAAGGCGACATGAACAGTGATGCCTGAGCAAATCAAACGTCACCCTTTTGCATAGTTTATCATGTGTTTGTTGGTGGAATATTCCCTAGAAAATGGTCTAATCATCTTAATAATATAAAATTTTGGTTACAGATTGAGACACAGAGGACCTGACTGGAGTGGAATATATCAGCACGGAGACAATTACTTGGCCCATCAACGTCTTGCGATCATCGATCCTGCTTCCGGTGATCAACCTCTCTTCAACGAGGACAAGACCATTGTCGTCACGGTAATGCTCTACCTCCAAAAATCTATATCCATGGAGTCATAATAATAACTCTGTTTTTTTTTTTTAAACTTGTTGATATTTTTGTTGCTCAAACTTTTTTTCTAATATTGATTTGTTCGATAGGTTAATGGAGAGATCTATAACCATGAGGAGCTGAGAAAACGTCTGAAGAATCACAAGTTCCGTACCAGAAGTGATTGTGACGTCATTGCTCACCTGGTTTGTGTGTTGTTTCATTTTGATTGCTTTTTTGCTAAAACTGGTTTACTAATTATTGATTTGAGTTTGATGTGTGTTTGGTGACACAGTACGAGGAGTATGGTGAGGGATTTGTGGATATGTTGGATGGAATCTTCTCCTTTGTGTTGCTGGACACAAGAGACAACTCTTTCATGGTGGCTCGTGACGCGATTGGTGTCACTTCGCTTTACATTGGCTGGGGATTAGACGGATCAGTGTGGGTATCTTCAGAGATGAAAGGCTTACACGAGGACTGTGAACATTTCGAAGCGTTTCCTCCAGGTCATTTGTATTCAAGCAAATCAGGAGAGTTTAAGCAATGGTATAATCCTCCTTGGTTCAACGAATCCATTCCTTGTACGCCTTATGAGCCTCTCGCAATCAGACGCGCCTTTGAAAACGTAAGAAAACTTACCTTTGAAACAAATTAAGATGTATTATTAATTTGTTTGGTTTACTCTGTAGGCTGTGATTAAGCGGTTGATGTCTGATGTTCCTTTCGGAGTTTTGCTCTCTGGTGGTCTTGATTCTTCTCTTGTTGCCTCCATCACTGCCCGTCACTTGGCCGGTACTAAAGCTGCTAAGCGATGGGGTCCTCAGCTCCATTCCTTTTGCGTCGGTCTTGAGGTGAGATGTCGAACAGAGCTCCTCTGTTTTCAAAAGCAGAGTTATAATGAGATAAAAATGTGTTTCCAATTTTGTAGCATCATTTATGGTTTTTTCTGTTTAGGGCTCGCCGGATTTGAAAGCGGGGAAAGAGGTGGCGGAATATTTAGGGACGGTGCACCATGAGTTCCACTTCACGGTGCAGGATGGGATTGATGCGATAGAGGATGTGATTTACCATGTTGAGACCTATGATGTGACAACAATCAGAGCGAGCACGCCGATGTTTTTGATGTCCCGAAAAATCAAGTCTCTAGGAGTCAAGATGGTTCTCTCTGGTGAAGGTTCTGATGAGATATTCGGAGGGTATCTCTACTTCCACAAGGCACCTAACAAGCAAGAGTTTCACCAAGAAACCTGTCGCAAGGTATCTCTTCAATGTTTAATCACAAAAAATACATCATCAAACGCGAGATCTCTAATTCTTTGTGTGCAATGTCTTGCAGATCAAGGCTCTTCACAAGTACGACTGTTTAAGAGCCAACAAAGCTACCTCTGCCTTTGGTCTAGAGGCGCGTGTTCCTTTTCTGGACAAAGAGTTCATCAACACCGCTATGTCTCTAGACCCTGAATCCAAGATGGTAACTACTAAAACTCAAATCGCAAACTCAATTCCTTCTTTCACAAGTTAACGTAAGCTTGTTGTTGAAAAAGTTCTTCTATATGGGTTTTTTAGATCAAACCAGAGGAAGGAAAAATCGAGAAATGGGTTCTAAGGAGAGCCTTTGACGACGAAGAACGTCCTTATTTGCCAAAACACATTCTCTACAGACAGAAAGAGCAGTTTAGTGATGGTGTTGGCTATAGTTGGATCGATGGCCTCAAAGCTCATGCTGCTGAAAATGTATTACACAAAATATCTCATATATCTTCTGATTAGCTATAAATGATTTCGGTTTAGATCTGATTATCTCTGTTCTATTTTTAGGTTAATGACAGGATGATGTCGAACGCTGCACATATCTTTCCTCACAACACTCCACTCACCAAAGAAGCTTACTATTACAGAATGATTTTTGAGAGGTTCTTCCCACAGGTAAGTCTTTTACAAATCTCCATACGATGTAGCGGAATCTCTTTTTGATTTTGTTTATAAAAATTTACGACGTTTTTTCTGCAGAACTCTGCGAGGCTAACGGTTCCAGGAGGTGCGACCGTGGCTTGCTCGACCGCAAAGGCGGTGGAGTGGGATGCAAGCTGGTCCAACAATATGGACCCATCAGGAAGAGCCGCCCTCGGAGTTCACCTCTCGGCCTACGAAGGCAAAAAGGTAGCATTGCCTTCGCCGCCACATAAGGCGATTGGCGACATGCCGATGATGATGGGTCAAGGAGTTGTGATTCAGACATAAGTTTGAAGGAGAAATGAAGGAACTGTGTGCTCTTTTAAGTTGTGTGTCCTAATGGGTAAAGTATTTTGTATGATTTTAAAATAAAAGTGGATTTCTTTTTCTAAAGAATGTATAATTAATTTTCTTGTAAAAATTTAAGATTTGAATGCGCCGTACCCCCCCCCTACATGTACATCAATCTTGTATAAATTTTTATTCTCTATTGTATCGGATGATTCAATCCTATTTGGATGTAAATAAATCTGGTTATGCTCATTTCGCAAAACTTTTTCATGGAATGTGTGAGGGTGTTGAATACATTTTAAAAACATTTGGGGTTAAATATGGAGATACCGTAGAGATCAACTTGTGTGTCTCCTGCTCTGCTCTTACAAGTAATTTTGGGTTCTTTTCAAGTTCAATTGTTTCTTTCTCTGTTTATCTTCGGAATCATATTTTGGATTTGGTTCGTTCCTTAGCTTTTAGCCTTATTCCTAATTTCAACATCTTTACAGTTTATTTCAGCTGCAATTGCCTCTAAATTTATCGGATATTTCGATTTCCCCATAGATTCAAAATTCTGTTCGTGGTTTAATTGTTAGGTGCTAATGTACAAATGGTGAATAATAGTTCTCTTCTGCATTTATTCTCGACTGTTAAAAGCTGTCACCATTTTGAGGCCTGTAACTGGCATACTGATGTGTCCTGCACGTTCTTAAGAGGGTTCTTTTCGGTAAATTGTGATTGCAGAGGAACTGCAGTAACTATGAAGAAGATGCTAGAGACAAGACGGCTTTTCCTGGATTAGACCGTAGTTCTTGCAAACTACCAAAACGTCTTCTAGCTAAGGTTGTGCCAGTTGCGCAGATTGGAGTTATCGGTGAGAAGATATTTCCCATGATCGGAATTGTACAGCCTCCTGCTTGAACCTTGGTCTACTCTTGGAGGGCAAATAGATTCGGGTCCATGGCCTCCACTTGGCTTCTCGGTAACTTCCTGCAGTCTTTCCTGCAAAGTTCAGGCACTTTTGAAGTTTGCTGCAGTGGGGAATTGGTCAGTTATCTTTCCCGTACAGTATTATGACTGCAGTGCCAGTATCATATCACTCTCTATGTTCGTGCTGCTATTATGCCAAATGTATTAGTGTCATTAGTAGTAAAGCTAATCTGATCCAATGTTTGGTCTTTGCAGGTCTTCTCTAAATTGAAAGAAGGTAGATTTTCCCGGGGGAGATGAGTTGGAGATCTCATCAGCAGAATCCTAACGAAACCTTTCGTCACAGGCAGCTACTAAGCACTCTCTTGTCTAGAATGTTCTGAAACCCTAACCTGAAGCTCCACAGTATAGACGCCAAATAGTGTTTATGGTAAAAGCTAATGTGCAAAAAATGTCAACCTATAGTCTTCCTATTGCCAAATTGTCTGGTTTATAGATAGCTTACATGGTTTCTCAAGACTTTGCTGTGCTAGTCAGATGAATATACAGATTACAGAAAATGAGGGAATTCAACTCACTCAAAATAGATATTATATTAAGTTTCTTATTTAACATATAGACTAATAAACAAGTAAACTCAAAAGAGTTTTAAGATTTTGTGTCAGCTTCTGCATTGGTCGGAACACTTGGATCGTGTCTAGTGTTTGCAGACGGATCACCATAGTCCTCAATGCTCACCATCAACGATCTACTTGCTATCTCTGTCTTCCCAAAACCTAACAAATGAGATCAATTTAAATTGGTTAATCCCAAAAACAGAATCAGAACATTGTATAATTCAATGAATCAAAACATAAAGAAGAAGACCAAGAATCAATTCAAAAAAAGAGATGAAACCTGAAACAGAAAGAGTGTTGCGGGCAAAAGTTGTAACAAATGGAAATGTTACTATGAGAAACAAAAGAAACCGAACTCCAAAACTCATCTCAGTTTGGTTTGAGAAGTATATATGTAACCAGTGTCGTATATTTATATAAAAATATGATGATACCAACACCAAATCTGCAGTATTTAGCCGAATGCAATTGTTTTTTCACGTGAACAAGCAACCAAACATTAAAGACACTTTTCT